AGTGACTACAACATGGGATACTATCTTGCCGATGGCATCTATCCTCAGTGGGCAACATTTATGAAGACCATATCCTAACCACAGGGCAACAAACAAAACCACTTTGCAACAATGCAGGAATCAACTAGGAGGGATGTTGAGAGGGCATTCAAAGTGCTTCAAGCTCATTGAGGAATTGTTTGTGCAGCTGCAATGATGTGGGAATCATAAACTTTATGGCATCTCACGACATGTTGTGTTATTTTGTACAATATGATTGTCGAGAATGAGGATGATGATGTTGCTCGAACTAATGATTTTGAAGCGCGTGGAAAACAAGTTTAAATCTCAGAAGATCAAGATGCAGCTCAACTTATGAACTTTCTATAGATGCATCAGAATCTTGGAGATCATCAGGTGCACGCCCAGCTACTCTGTGATCTAATGAAGTGTATGTTGACTCATAATGAAAACCAAAGAGTTAATGTTTGAATTGTGCACTTAAAATATATTTTACCTAAGAGCTATGTATTTTTAGTATCAAACATTTCTTATTTACGTCCAGTACTAGCATGTAAGACGTGCGTAGATTTGAAAATCCGAGTTTGAGATACGTGAGCAATCTCGCTAGCTACATTTGCATACACGAGGAGCAATCTATCCGTCCGTGGTCGCTCACCGTACGGGTCTTGTACGTGTACGTGCAGGCGGCTCGGGATCGCGACGGAGCTGGTGAGGCTCGCCGAGGCGTGGAGCGCCACGCGACCATGGCGACCACGGCATCCAACGTGGCCTCGCTCACGCTCTTTGCCGGCCACTTCGGGTACATGTCGTTCCAGCGGCCAATGTTCCTCGGGCACCTGATGCACCGGCACCGCGCGTGCACCCCGGCGCGCACTGCGTGTTGCAGTTGACGTCGCCGCTCGCGGCCACGACCTACACCGCCCTGCCCTCCCAGGCAGAGTTCGTCCCAGCCGAGAGCCGACCTCCCCGCGTTGCTTGTCCAAAATCTCACACTCGGCACCGTCGAGCGCCATCCGGACCCGTCATTCTCGTCGTGCTTTGTGCTGCTCAGCGTTTCGAAGGCCATGCGCTCCCTCACAAATCCGAAGAGCAAACCAACATGTGGTTAGATGATTCAAAGGGCAGTGGTATTTCCGGTCTATCAAGATTCGAGTCTTGATGCTCGAATTATTCTAAATTATTTCAGAATTACGGACAATGCATGTTCAGTGAGAGAAAACGTTTTCATCGACTACGAGGCATCTGTAGTGACTTTATCAATTCAAGATAATATGTCGATTCAATCTTTGGAGGTGCTCATAAAGGTAGCGTGCGTGTTTGTGCTCATTGGATTGGGACGAGCGCAGTGTATATATGAGCGACTGCGACAATGCTATGTTCTAAAAAAACTGAAGTAAAATTTGGTCGGGGTCAAATGTACCACCAAGTGCGTCGATGGGGGTATAAATTGAGAATTTTCAAAAAGTGGGTAATATCTATCACAAAGGTCAACTCGAGGGTAAAAAATTAGAATTTACCCTTTTTATTAAGTACGTATGTCATGCAATAGCACCATTCTGCAATAGTGTTTTTAAGTAGCAGAGATAGAAGTGATGACACTACAAGAAATATGTCAACTTGTGACCTTGACTATTGGTCACTGAAAGATCATTGTTTTTCATTTGCGACCTTTTTTTGACCAAAAACAGAAGGTCAAAAGCTGAGAGTCGTTAACTGACTATAGCGACCTTCTCTGTGAGAAGGTCGTGGACGTTTACAACCAAAATATTCCTACTGTGGCGTTTTGGTCACTAGCAACATTCCCAGGCCACGTAGGCATCCAGCGTGGCAAGCTGATGTGGCACAAGATTCAGCCCGGTCCAATTAGGTGTTTTACATGGGCCGAGCTCAACAATTCTAGATTTTTTCCAAGTCAATTCTTGTGGCTACATGGGCCAAGCACAATATTTCAGCGTCTTTATTTTTGGGCCTTGGCCTTCTTACAATCATTTATTTTCTATTTTCAATCATTATATTTTAGCGCTGGTCCCACTAGTCATAATGCCATACATCGGTCCCACATGTCAGAAATTTCAAAAATGCTCAGATTTTATTCACAAGTGGTTCCCACTGGTCAAGTTTCCATTTCACATTTTTTCAACATACATAATCACTATTTCAAACATACACTAGTATTTTACAATCTGTTACAATATTACAAAGGTGCATCTTAAATTGTTCTCACTCATCAGATTGTTCATCAAGTAACACTACGTCTACTACAATCTGTAGATAGTCTATTACAACCCCAATATTAGTCTATTACAACCCCAATATGCCTACTGTTACAATATTACATTATTTACAGTCTATTATAGTCAAACATAGAGACAACTCTTTGCTGAGTAGGGCTATACAGCTTTGAACTTCAAATTCCATAGACCTGGAGCTCCTGTAAAAGAGTGAACACATAGACTACCAGCATTAGATTATTAGATTATTCCTGGACTATCAAAAAATTATATATTGAAAGAGATCTCATAGAAATGTAGATTTACGGGCCAAATATATGATAAATCAACAGATTCAGCCAACTTTAAAGACCTAGATGTTTGTGATGCATCTTCACAGAACCACAAGAACACTAGATATAGTATAATATGATTCCAGGAGACCACAAGAGCATCAATCAGCAGCAGGTATATAGCTAGCAAACTATCTACTAGACATCATCGACACTTGAACCATAACATGCATGTCCAGCACCGAAACAAAAAATGGGACCATAACATGCATGTCCAGCAAGGAAACAAAAAATGGGACAAGTACTAATGTTGTATAACATGTACAGGAAGGCCATCCAATGGTTTCAACCACATCCTAATAAACCAGCGACACTCTAATACTACTAATTACCAGTAGCGAATAAAATAGCCGAATGAGGCAACAACACTTGATCATCGACACAACAGTCAGCAAGGACTCAACCACGGCGCAAAAAGCATCAAAATCCTAACTAACCCATGAAACAGAGCATGGTTGTAGCATAGCAAAGGTAGGAGCTCACAATGGTGGTTTGTGTAGCCGATGTCGAACAGCCTCCGTTCGTCGCTTGCGAGCACCATGCACCTTGGTGCCTTGCATACGGCCTCCTTCGAGTCTGCGAGGGAAAGAACGAGGTGAAGGTTAGTCGCATCAAGGATGCTGCTGTTCTAGGTCAAGCTAAGTCAACGGCATAAGAGATTTTAGTCAACAAAAATTAACATGTGAACATCTGGCATAATAGTAGGATAGATTGTAGTAGTAAGCATGCAAGGAAACAAAACATGGGACAGATATTGATAGCAACAAAACAACCAGGATATGACAATAGCAGTAGTATAGATTGTAGTGACAGAAGCACAAGCATGCAAACATGCATCTCATCCCAACCTAAAACTAGAAACAGTAGCAGCCATTCATTTTTACACAAGTGTAAAACTAAATCATAAGCACTACAGCATTTGCTAAACTTGTCAGCTAAAGAACTCTATCTCGAAAGGCCTGAAAGAAGGTTACATAAGCACCAGAACACCCTAACCACCACCAATTCTCTTCATAGTTGATCTGATGTAAAAAAGTAAGCAATATGATACAGCAGCAGGCAAGTAGTATATATCACTCATGGGCGTATAGGGCGAGGCGGAGGTAGTTCATGTGCTCGGTGCACTTGCGGATGGCGTTCTCGGCATATATCTGGGCGCCATCGGCGTTGCCCTTCTCGATGGCCTTCTTCACCTTGAGCTTCTGTCATTCAACATATAAACATATAAGTAAAGTACACTAATTCTAGAAGAGAAAACACAAAGCAATAAAGGATAAATGGACCATTTCCCCACAATTTTTTTCCTGATTCAAACATCTGCAGTCCAGCCACTGATGTCTTAAGCATGTGTTGTTGGTATGACCACACATGAGAATCAACTTCAGAGAATAAAAATCACATTTGCTAAAATTTGCTCAAATTATGCACGAAAATCAAGGGCCCCTGCCCTCCCACTTTCCTAGAACAAAATGAGTATATGAGCAGCAGCTATATAGGACTGATGATGCATGTACTGCCTGGGAAAGAGCCACCACCAGCAGTTTGTTATAGTAGCAGGGTCAGTGAACTTTCCAAATATGGATTCAGCAAATGCATAGTGAGTTCACTTGTTAATTGGCTAGTTGAATTCTACTAATAACCTACAGAACAACTAAAATGATGCTGCTATATATAGACACGCAGCGTAGATGAGAAAAATAGAAGACATGAATTTGATGCTATCTTGAAAGTAAAAAAGAACTATATTTATCACAACTTTGAAAAGTAACTAAATAGTGCAATGGTATAATATTTGATACGGCAACCAGGAAGTGGTACAATACAAATGCTGATTAACCAAATTAAAAAAGAGTTCCCACACATTTGGTTGCTCACGGGTAGAACTTAAGAATCATTGGTGAATTACTAGTGCAATACAGAGATGCTGAAAACATACCCAAACTCGTTCAAGATTTCCGCACATTTTATTTTTGCAATGTTTTCTATGTAAAGTTCTTTTCTGCAATGTTCCAGCAAACCAAATGAAAGATGCCAGTCTCACACTATGCACAATATGAACCCGCGTGAAATGCAAATGAACAGATGACCCAGTACCTGCTAGCATTTGTACAAGACCGAGATAATGTGATCATGCGTTGGGCAAGAGAAACTATTGACAGCGACCTCATAGCACAAAATTAAGCAGACCAACAATGTGTAAGGCAAGACCATGGCAGGGATCTAGTTCTCCCCCAGCAGAGTCCCTTTGGAGCCGATCAGCTCCCCACGCAAGCAGCTTCCGGATGCAATCCAAGTCCCCGTTGCGAGCCGCCAAATGCACGGGGTGAGGGGGCGCCATGACCCTGACGATCAGCCGGAGGTTGCTTCTCACCACAAGTACCTGCACGTATCACTTGTTGGAGTTAGTTCTTTTCAATTAATGAATTCTTTTAGTTTAACAAGACATGCTCATCCATGGTGCAGTCCAAGAATACATGTATAAATCATTGCCTGAACCATACATGTACGCATCTCTCTCTCTTTCTCTCTGAAATTGAATTGCCCTCTTACTTTTTTCCTCTGTTCCATACATGTACACACATGTTAAGTGAAACCCAAGGCACTCCAAGCTACAGGGAACCAAAATAAAGATGACAGAATAAGTTGAAACTTGTAAAGTTGAATATTCCCCAATACTCAGCATCCCACGAATGCAACCAAGCCTCCATGTACAGTTCAGGTTCAGACATGATTATATATATAATGACCAAAGTAAACTCTATAGGTCTTCAACATCAATCTGTAGGCATCGAAGAGCAGAAGCTTGTGTTGAAAACAAATTCATTATACGACTCGGCATCAAACTAGACTAGAGAGAGAGTGTCCGATGATAATATCAGAGAAAAAATCATGGTTGTTGTCACTGGTAAACTGATTACAGCCGACGTCACTCACTCACTGCTAGTGCTAGGTGATAGCAGTGAGTATCTGCTAATACCACAGAGAAAACCATCGTTGTTGTCACTAGTTACAGCCGAACTAACTCACTCGTTCACTCACTGCTAGTGCTCCTCATCATACATATAGATGTAGCACAAATGCGGTAGTACCAGACCAAAAAGGGACAACAGCACTCGAATTAGGAAGCCTGATACATTTAAGGAACGAGTAGTATAGAATCCTAATACAGTAAAGTGGAGCAGCCTACTATTATTAGCAAGCAAAAAGGCTCAGCGCTGAAACTGAACCTGACGGCCAGTCAACTGAACAACACCGGATTTGCAAAACTTATACAACAGAGAACAACGGTGTACTAATAAACTTAATGAGAAACACGGATTTCATGGGGAGAACTATGAACAGCAATACTAGTAACCCATCTAAAGGAGCACTAATCTACAAAGAACACAGGCTAATATATGCAGGTAATTCGTCAGGAACAGTAATTCCTACAACTCCTATCATCAGGGACACTACATACATGCAAATGACTTGCAAGGAACACAAAATACATAGATATGGTTAGACAGTAAGGTAATCTTTGCATATCCCAAGGCAGAAACACTAATCTGTAAGGTAATCTGGAAGGGAGGAGGTGGCGGCTTGAAGAAAAAGGTAATCTGGCTTAGCCTGTTTGAAATCCTAATCCCAGTCCCAGCACGAGCGGGGCAATTTCATGGTGGAATCCCGTCCAATCCCCAATTTTTTGAACCACACACGCACGCAGCACGCCGCGTCAATCCACACATACAGCACGCGCGGAGCAGCCCAGCTCAGCCGACGCGGCGTCCGTACACGGGGTGAAGAAAGGCCTGGTGGTAGCAGCAGCTCACCATGAAGAGGTTGAGCTCCTCGCCGCCGGAGGGCGCGGCGGCGGGGGGCATGGGCGGCGGGGCGCGCGCGGCGATCTGTGCGTCGATGCGGGGGAGCTGGTCGACGGGGGTGGCGACACGCAGGCAGGCGACGTGCACCTCCAGCAGCCGCTCGTACAGCGGGTGCACCTCGATGGCCGCCTTCTCCCTCTCCCACCCGCCGGGCGCGCCTGCACCCAGGCCTGGCGCGAAGCCGCCGCCGGGTCCATCCCCAGCGCGGCCGCGGCGTGGTCCTGGTGGTGGTACTGGTACGCCATGGCCGGCGCAGCAGTCGGGCAGGCAGAGCAGGCGGGCAGGGCGGAGCGGTGCAACGGTGCAGCGGCCGGAGGGAGGTGGCAGCCTCGATCTGGAAGGGAGGAGGTGGCGGCTACGATCTGGAAGGGACGAGCGCGGATCCGACCGCGGCCGTGGGAGAGAAGGGGAGGGGAGGGGTTGTCGGCGACCGGGGTTGGGGGAGAGGATGAAGGACAGCGGCGGCGGTGGG